CTAATGATCGAACCACCCTTAGAAACGAAACCCACCCTAATATACAACTCTGCCCGAAGAAGCGAAACTACCCTAACGCACAAAACCACCATACGAGACCCATCTCAGATGTTATCCCGAGAGGGCCTGTGCAGATGGGGCCGTGGCTCTCGATGGCGCGGTTGTCGGCGAACGGCTCGCTGGCGGGGCTGTTGGCGACGGGCTTTTCGCAGCGGTCGCTGCAGGCTTGCTGCTCTCAATCTTGGCTTGGGTAAGATTCCTCAACTCCTTCCACTTGGCGTCGAGCACAGCGTTCCTATCTTGCTCCTGCTTGCACTCCTGCTGCGGCTTCGAGACGGCGACCGGGGTTGGCTGGCTGGCGGCTGGCTGGCTGGCGTCGGAGCGTTGGTTGGCTGGCTGCGGTCCTTCCGGAGCGACGGCTGGGTGGTTGGCGGTGCCTCCGGAGCGACGGTTGGCTGGCTGGCTGGCTGGCGGCGCCTCGGCGGCAGACGTAATTGGCGCAAACTTGGCGAGCTTCTGCATAAGTTCCAAAGGGGTCGGAATCGTATCTCGCCCCCTCTTGCATCTCCGCCCCGCCCCCGACATCGGCCGGGGCGCGCGCCGCGCGCGCTGCCCAGGGTACCTGAGGCACCTGGGACTCGGGCCCAGATGAGCCAACCAACAGGGGAGGGATGGAGTGTGTCAAGAGGTGGAGTGAAGGAGTGAGGGGAAGGGGGATCGACCCATCTCAACATGGCACTGTACTTGGGTTTGGGTCAGAGGCTCTAGGGGGGAAACTCATTGGGGGGCATCTCATGGGGGTGCATTGGGGCATATGCGGCGTCCGCGCGGGACCGCATGGGGCATCTTGGGAGCGCTTCGGGGGCTATGTGGGGGCGACCAGCTTGACATGTATGGATGGTCGCGTTTTCCTGCGTGGGTCAGTATTGTTCTTTGTGTTTGAGAGGGCACGTCAAGCCATGTTGGGTTCAACGTCAAATGAAACTGAATGAGTTTGACATGTTGAGGCACTCTTGAGGGCCATATTGGAACATATCGGGCCGAATTGGGGCCATCTTGGGCAGCTTGGAGGGTTTACGGGTCTCCTTTTTTTTCAAGCAGTGCTTGCGCGGTGGTTGGGCGTGAAGCGGCGTGAAACGCGAAGCGCAACGGGTATTTCACGGGTATTCCACGGATAGTTCACGGCTTCACGGCTTCACGGGTTTTTCACGGCTTCAAGTGTTATTGGTTGCGTGGGCGTTGGCGCATGGACCCCGAACAGTCCAACCATAGAACATGCAACCATGTAAATTCACGCGCCACAAGGGTTCGCTGTCTGACCGAAGTGCAAGCACTGATCGGGGACATAGAGAGCATCACATCAACATATACTCCAGAGCATGGGCAAACGGCCAGCCGGATGTCCTGCCCTTCGGTGGACGAGGGGGAATCAGTGGGCAGGTGCATCGGCTTCTTGAGGGGAGTAGAGCGGCGGCACCGCTTGTGAGGAGGAGCGCAGGAGGAGGACAAGGAGGAGGGAAGGACGGATGAACAAAGAGAATTGCTTGTTCGCCATATTGGGGCCCAGTAGACGTGCAAATCTTGAGGCCCCGACACTGGCGGTTCGCTGGGGTTTTCTTGGGGCGGCGCTGGGGAGCAGCGGTTCTTTTCCGAGGGCGTCGCCGGGGGTTAATCCACGGAATGGGGCACAATTGCACGGCGCCTTTCTCATTCAGACGTCGGTCGAGAGCGCGAGATGCAAAGAGACAGAGAGAAATGCGGGGAACATGGTCGAGCTACAGGCGTTAGTTTGGGATTCACGTCTACGTCTCCTCACCATCCCTCTTACCATGCTCCGTGTGCGTTTCCCGCCCATCGCGTCCCCTCTCATTTTCTCGATCGCCCGATCCTTCCCATTCCGTTCCCTCGCGATTCCGATTATTTCTTCATCCTCCATTCCCCACCTTCCATCTCATCATCGGGAATTCATTCGGATTCCACGTGCCCCCTCCCACTCCGGGTTGTAGGCCAAGCAGCATACGCAACGCATGTCTTATCCGATGCGAGGTCGACCCCACATTATGCACAGTGCGTGCTAGCTGCAACTGCAAGGTATACAGTGAGCAGGGTGAGTAGATGGCGTCTGTTTGGGAATACGGAAGAGCAAGGGGATGAGGGAGGAGGGCGCATGCACGATTCAAAAACGTCGGCTGCGCAAATTACAAAGGCCCTAGAGAAATTTGGCCAACGAGCGTCCAATTGCACGCCTTGCATACCAGCTGAATGCATATCTTGGAACGCTACTTGGAGGTCAGGTAGTCCAGCACGCTATGCATCTCCGCCAATGGCACACAGTCCTCCTTGGAACGAGCTTGCTTGAATATGTTGAGGTCGGAGGCTCCATCGTCGGGATCACCAGTAATGGTTTGTGCCTTGTGCTTCTTGAGCTTCTCACCTGTAATGGCCTTGCCCTTATTGAGCTTCAGGCGAGAGTGGTTGGCCTCGTACATCTTGACTACGGCGTCGCCGAATCCTTTGGGGTAATGTTGAGACTGCTTGAGCTGGCACCCCCACTAACCTGCTCGCGGCCATCGGCGCTGTGCGTGATACGCACGAGGTCATCGGCAGTAATTTTGTCTTTCCATGTTTGTTTTTTCTTTCCTTGAGCTTCCAATTCGCCTATGCACTTGTCGTTTGACCACAATGCCGTGGGTTTGCTGGAACTTGCCCCGGAAGCTCCCATGTACGCAAAGGCTCGAACCATTTGAACGCGGCGGAGCATGTTCTGGAAGAAGGGGTGACGACTGAGAATTGACGACGCTGGCCGCTCTAGAATCCATAACCCTCCACGGGCAGAAATTATGAGAAGTAGCAAGACGCACCTAGCAACCATCTTATTAGCTTCTCTCACTTGAGCTGTTTTTGCATTTCCGAGGGGATCCCATTCTGAGCGCCCAGCCGTGGCTCTGTTCACCCAAGCCCACGTAGAACAGACTGGAGCTAGAACGTTGATACTGCCGGGCTTGCAGCGGAGGGCCACGTGCAAGGCATTGGCGAACCCACTGTCTGAATTCATATCGAATTGGCCGCCAAGCGCATCATCGTTTATCTCGAAGGGAATGGCAATCTTTCCTGCGCGCCAGCAGGCTTTTGAGAATTCGCGCTGTCCTGCGAAGAACTCTGCGCCATCTGCATCGGGGCGCTCCACCGATTTCCACAGGGCGCCATTGGATATGATCGCATAAATGCATTGCAACACAATCAAGGGCACGCCATGCTTGGATAGAGACTTCAACAGTGAAGGTTTTGCACTGTTAGGCGTCGCCTTATAGCCAGCAGCCTTCTTAGTTGAGTCGACTTTGCGTTTCAAGGCCATTGTGAGAAGCGCCTGGCCTGCTTGCAAGAATGCAGAAGGGACGCGGTCGACCCGCCTGGATTTCGAGCCAAAACGGCGATGCGGAATGCGCGACACTGCGCGGGGGGAGAGGGCGGTGGCCGGGCGGGGGCTACTCGATCGACTCAGGGGGAGATACCGCGCTGAGATCCCCCAGGATCCCAGCGGCGGCACCAAGGCCGCTTTGGGGGGACCTTTTGGGGGTCGTCTTTGGGGGTCGCGTTGGGCGTGTTATTCGGAACGTTTTGGGGGTCGTCTTGAAGTATTTTTGTATGTTTTTCTCGAGTGCCATATTGGGGCCTCTTTGAGTGCCATGTTGGGGTCCTCTTGGGGGGGCGTCTTGAAGGACCTTTGGGGGGTTCCTCGAAGACCTGCGCGGGAACTTGTTAAACCAAAGCGGGGAAAGGGAATTTTGGATCTAGAATAATTTACCACCCAAGATATCATGAGAGCGATGATTGCACGTGGACCCCTGTTCTTTGGACTCCGAACATGTATGCTAGGAGGCGCGACCATATAAGGGCATCGGACACCGGGCACCTATAGGAGAGCATTGAGTGCAACGTGCAAGCGCTGTTTGTGGAACGCGACTCTAGAACACATTCGCCCCCCCTCGCGCGGCGCGGCGGGCGCGCCTCTCCGGGGCCCGGCTCGCGCCGCGCGCGCGCCTGCCTCGTGCAGGGGCGACCCAAGCCCCAAAGTTACTGCGGCGAAGCATGGGGGGCGGAGGAGCAGGAGGAGGAGGAGGAGGAGGAGGAGCAGGGGCAGGAGAAAGGAGGAGGAGCAGGAGGAGCAGGAGGAGCAGGAGGATGAAGGACCCGGAGACGGAGCAGGAGGATCAGGAGAAATAATCAGCAGCAGGAGCAGGAGGAGTTAAAGCAGAAGGAGGAGGAACAGGAGATTACGACAGAGTCCAGGATGGGACGAGATGTGGAGGATGACGAGAGGATGAGAAGAAGCAGCAGCAGCAGCAGCTGCAGGAGGCTCGAGGGGGAGGCAGAGGAGCAGCGGATGTGCATCCTTGTCTTGCTCATCCTCATTTTTCGTGCTCTTCCCCCTCTCCTCCCTTGCCTCCACTATCCCTCTTTTCCTCGTTCTCCCCCTCGTCCTCTTCCTCGTTCTCCTCCTCGTCCTCCTCATCATCTTCCTCCTCTTTCTCCTCCCCCCCTCCATCTCCGCGCAGGCGCCGGGCGCGCGCGGGCGCATCGCGCGCTGGCGCGGCATATGCAGGAAGCGGAGGACGACGAGGAGGACGAGGAGGAGGGGGAGGAGAAGGGCGGCAACAATCGAGGAGGGTGATGTGAAGAAAGGAGTAGAGAGTAGAGGGCAGGAGGAGAACAGGGTGAGATGAGGCAAGCGATTGAGGAGGTAAGAGTAGTCCAACTTGACCTTTACTCACGTGGTTCAGGGCAGGCCTCGAAACCGCATAGGCGAATCCGACCGTGACGACGAGGAGCCCCAACCAGAACGTTGCCAGATACCCCAGTCATGCACAGCTCCCCCGCCCCAGGGACACTCCCAACATCGTTTTCTGTTTTGCTCCAGTGTTTGAAACTAAGTCAGAAGCACCCCCTATGCAGCTAGCTGCATACATCTAGTTTGTCAACATCACTGGGCTGGCACATCGCTACTTCGGGTCTTGTGGGTGCCCTGCAGCATGGCACGCTTTCTCCCAGGCCTGCTTGATCCCACCGTGCTTGTTCCATGTGACGTGGCGCTGCTTGGGGGGCTCTCTGTTTGCTGCCTTGCATATCCAAAAGGCTTTCCGGTGCAGCAGTATCTTGATCTGGGCCCCTTTCTTCGCTTGCTGCAGTGTGTAGCTGGAACCTCCAAAGCCTGCCGGGAGCTCGCTCTGGGGGCAGGCCCGATGCGGCATGTCGTTTGGGATCGTGTAGCCCGGGAATGTCTTGGCGCCTGCGGCCGGGGGCAAGGCGGGGAGGTTCGGGCGCGGGCGCGAAGAAGAGGAGAGGGCCGACAATTAGAATGCACAACGAGGAGAGAAGGAGGGAATGAGGAGGGAGCAAGTCAGAGAAGGAAGAGGGATGGAAGCCCAGGATAAGGAGGAGGAAGAGGAGGAGGAACACGAGAGGGAGGGGGAAGAGGAGGACGAGGAGGGGGAGGAGGAGGAGGTGGGCAGATGTTGACCATGGGGATGGGGCCAATGAGGTATAGGGGCCTAGGGATGGGTCGCGATGGAGCAAGGGTGGAGGAGGATAATAGGATAGTCAAGCAGAGGTGGCGGATGCTGATGATGCTTATGATGATGATGCTGATGATGATGATGCTGATGATGATGATGAGGAGGAGGAGGGTAGAGGTAGAAGGGATCCCTCATCCCTCTCCCTCATCATTCTGCCCTGAGCTCCTGTGTCGACGCTGCTCCTGGTCTTGGCGACCTTCGCGGAGCCCTTGTCGACCTTCGCGGAGCCCTCGGCGAGGTCGTCGCTCTCGCCCGTGTCCTTGTCCTCCATCGCTTTGGCCATCATCTGTGCCACCATGGCGCCCATGCCCATGTCATCCTTGTCAGGCTTGGGGCCGTCGGAACTCGCTTCGGCCTTGGCCTTGGCTTTGGCCTTGGGCGTGCTCTTGAGGAGCTTGGCTTTGGGCTCCACGCCGAAGGAGTCCGACTCGCGCTTCTTGCCGCTCTTGGCCTGGCCGACTTCCCCGGAGCCCTTGGATACCGAGTCTCCTGCGAGGTCGGCGCCTTTAGTTTGGCCGCGCTTGCCCTTGCCCTTGCCCTTGCCCTCCTGCACGCCATCGGCCACGCCCCCCTGCAGGAGGTTCTGGGCCACGCTGCTGACAGCAGGCGGCGGTGCCTCTGCCATCTCCTGCTTGACTTGCTCCACCTCTGGCTTGGCGGGCTCCGCCTGCGGGCGCAGGCACTTGCGCTGGCGAATGGTGTCAAGGGCGGTAGGGTCGCCATGGCTCTCGCGGTCAAACGCCTCAGCCAGGCGCTCCATGTCCTGGGCGCTGCGCGCTGCCTCAGCGCCATCTTCTTGATCTTGGAGCGCGCCTGCCAACGCCAACGTCTGCTGACTCAGGATATCCTCATCGCTGTTGCCGATCTCCTGAACGTCGCGGGCCTGACTCTCCTCCTGCTGCAGCTCGTCACTCCATTGGCCTCCGACCGCGTGGGAGTCCACTGCCTGCTCATCTGCAGCCTCTGCAGCCTGACTCATCTCAATCATCATGCCGTTGTTCTCCTTCACGTCCTCGCCGCTCTTCTCCGCGCGCTCGTCTGCGCAGATGTCGGTCTGCTTGGCGTCGGTCTCGCCCTCCAAAGTGTGGCCGCTCGCCGCCTGTGCGGCGTCGCCGCCCTCCTGGCCGCCCTCCTCCTGGACGCCCTCTATCTCCGCCTGCTGGTTCAGGATGGGGCCGTCGGGCTTGAAGATGCTATCCGGGAGAGGGGAACAGACATCATCATCATTCTCATCATCAGAGTTGATCTCGTAAACCTCTGCAGGGGCTGCCGTCGAGCCTGTGCTGGAGCCTTTCTTGGGCTTGTAGGTGCAGCGCATGCTGGACTTCAGGCCCTGCGCCTCTGGCGACCGAGCTGCCAAGCAGCCCTTGGAGCCTCGCAAGAGTTGGCGCGTGTACTGCAGACATCTCTTCCACAGCCCCGCAACGTAGATCGCGATTGCATCTTTGGTCTCGAGTTTCAGGTCTTGAACGATTTTGCGGTCCGCGCGGAGCAAGTTCCCTTCCAAGTAGTGGTCCTGCACGCGGAGGACGTCGGCCAAGAAGTACACGCTCGGGATCTTCTCCGGCATCATCATGATGGCTCCTAGTGGTAGTTGGTAATCAGGTCGCTTTCCACCGGGCCCTTCACGACGTCGGCTACGTGCATGGGATGGCGCACCGCGTCCTCTAGCAGGAGGCTCGTCTTGAGGCCCGGGTCCATGTTCTTCAGCACCCAGTGCGCAAGAGTGGCCACCTCGTCCATGTTATTCTCACCCATTAGTACCAGGTCGTCATCATCACAGCCAGGCTTTTGGCTGGCCATGTGGGTGGTAACTCCGCGCAGCAGTGATTGCGTCGCAGAGACTGCCTCTGCCTCTCAAATGTGTTGGGCCAAAACGGTGGATGGGGGATGGAGGAGGGCGAGGAAGGGGACGACAACAACAACCCTTGGAAGCCTCCGGAGGTCCTTGGAAGCCTCAAGCTCTATAACTCCTTCAAACGCACAGCGCCGAGATGGACCGAGCGAGTGCCCGAAAAGGGGGGGGGCCCGACCAAGAACGCCCAAAGGGCCACGAAACCTCGCAGGGTCCCAAGGGACAACGCCCCAAACGCCCAAGACCACCCAAGCTTAAACAACGTCCAAATCGCCAAATATCCACCGAGCTTGATTATCATGTTATGTTTGGTGATGGCGCTTGTCATGACCATTTCATTGCGATCTTGATGATGATAGCGGATATGATGACGTGTTTTGATCCTGGTGGTGATGATGGGGGTTCTGATGACAAGTTCATGATGGTGATCCTGGTGGTGATGCTGGTTATCATGGCATTTTGATGGCTGTGACCCTGGTGGTGATGATAATGATGGCGGTTTTGATGACTGTACTTTTGATTATGGTGGTGATGGTGTTTATGCTTGCGATTTTGCTTTATCTCCTGAGCCTCAACATGCGAGGCAAAATATGTTGTCTCGTGCCTCTGCTGGGCGAGGCTACCGATTTCTGGTAGTGAATTAGAAGCTGCATGGCATCATGTGTGCACCAGCTTCCGCAGGCACGCCTATAACAAAACACAGCAACTGCGAACTTGAATCCATTCCAAATTGCCTAACAACTTTTGGACATCTTGCAGCAACGTCAATTTCAATATCCAAATCACGTAGTAAGCATGAAAGTCGGTGGGACGCCACGTGCGTCAGCCAGTGCAGCAACATCGCACAGAGGCGCAAAACCGATTCCCGCAAAGCTTGAACTACGTTGTCTTCATTTTCTTTGTCTTGCTCGCATCGAGCTGCTCCATTCCTTGCCAAATGTATCTCCATGGCCAGCGAAAAGGTTTGACCTCCCAATTCCATTGCGTATTTTTTAGATTGCGCCGCATTGAATTGCTGGTAGATTTTGCACATCGTCATCCCCACGTCGCATCTGATATTGTCCGGGTGGTATGTGAGTTGATCTCTGTAGCGGCTTGGCAACAAGATCGCAATCATTACGTTCTTATCGCCATTCTTGATCCAGTGTAAGTGTCTCCCGACCCCAATGGTAAATATTGTCGAAAATACGCTGGCATCACAATCAATTGCCTAGGCTCCCGTGTCTCTTCCTCGTCTGGCTTACGGTAAGTTGGCCCCAAAAACTCCACCTTGTAGGATGAGTGAAATGTCATCATTATGCACGCCGACCCCGCCAACCATGACATAGATCGCCATGCGTTAGTCTTGAACTGCGCTGAATCCTTGAAGAGCCGCGTCGTCTCATCTGCCTCTCTGCCCCAGTGCGGGCTGCCCCAAAACGCAAGCTCTAGATCTATGCCCATCTCCTTCGCGAACGTATCAAACGGTTTGAACTTCGTCGTCCGATTGCTAAACCCAGATATGCCAAAGAAAGGCCCTGTTGCGCCCAAGTCGCATAATATGTTGGTGTTCATGCGTGTGTTGTCGTAGAGTTGTTGATGCTCAGGACTTGCATCGTCGTCGGGCTTCGGCTGCTGCTCCAAATCTGCGAGTACCAGGCATCCGTATGGCAAGCCTGCAGATCCCGCAATCACATCACTTCCACCACCAATATTATGTTCTTGCTTGCTGGATCCAGCGCGATTGCTCTCATCGCCCACATTCGGTCCATCATCCAACTCCATGTTCATAAATGTGCTGGTTGTTATGGCAGCGTCCTGTACCAGAGCCAAAAACATGCTACGGAGGAGGGCGGAGGAGTGCTTGTGTTTTCGCGTTGGTTCGGGGGGCGGGTAGGGAAGGATGCAAGACCCTTGCGAGCGCCCGCAAACGGTGCGCTTCAGAACGCAACATGTCATAGTTTTATGCGCAGATTCTCCGCGCGCGACGACGTCAAGGATGCAAGGGCGGCCCGCGCCCCCCCCCCCCCCCCCCCCCCCCCCCCCCACACCACCACCACCACCACCACCACCACCACGCACACGCGCACACAACGCACACACACACACACACACACACGCACACACACACACACACACACACACACGCACGCGCGCACGCGCACACGCGCACACTGAAACAGCATGCGTGATCTTCCGTTGTGGGTTATTATGTTGTGTTCTGTGTTTCTCATAGGTGTTTCAGTATCGTGTTATAGCATCTATAATTGAATGCTGTTGCGTTCTATGGTCCAGGTTCTGTTGTTTTGTTTGGGGCGGGGGGGATAGGGAAAGAGAGAGGGATAGAGAGAGAGAGAGAGAGAGAGAGAAGAAAAAAAAAGAGATACATATATATATATATAGAGAGAGAGAGAGAGAGAGAAAAAAAAAAAGAAAGATATATATATATAGAGAGAGAGAGAGAGAGAGAGAGAGAGAGAGAGAGAGAGAGAGAGAGAGAGAGAGAGAGAGAGAGAGAGAGAGAGAGAGAGAGAGAGGAGGGAGGGAGAGAGAGAGAGAGAGAGAGAGAGAGAGAGAGTTAGACAGGGAGGAGAGGGGGAGGGAGGGATAACAGCGCAAGGAAGGAAAAGGGAAGAGAGAGAGAGAGAGAGAGAGAGAGAGAGAGAGAGAGAGAGAGAGAGAGAGAGAGAGAGAGAGAGAGGAGGATGCGCCCCCTTGCAGCGGGCGGAAGCGCTGCCCTCATGCGCGCCGCGGGACACGCACGGGGCAACCCCAAGAAGAGGAGGGGGGGGAGGAAGAGGACGACGAGTGCCGTTGGTGCACCCCGCGTTCCCCCTCCACCATCCTCCATTTTTCATTGCTCGTTAACCTCCAATCCCCCACCTCTCCAGAACCGCTGCCTCTAAACAGAAGGCCCCCGAGGGGCATAGCATTCCTACGCCCCCTGGGCACCGCGCCCCGCTGTCTCCTAGCCCCCCCCCAGCGCGGCCACCCTTCAGGGGCCTAAAAAAAGTGCGCGGTGGCCGCGGCGCCCGCGCCGGGGGAGCGAAGTGGCCCCGCGCCGCCGCGGCCTTTCGGCTTGCGGGCGGCGCGGGGCCCGGGGGGCGGCGGCGGTGCCACGCTGGGCATTGCGCGCTCCTCCCCCTCCTCTGTAACCCCCAAAGGAACCACGCCGAGCCCCCGACGACCCAACGGGGCTCCAAGACAGCCCATGGGCACTCAAGCCCCAAAAAGGTAACAAGATTGGCCCAAGAGGGGGGCATCGAAGGCCCACCTTGCACGCATACTGCCCAACAGCGGCCTCCGAAGCAATGTTAGGCGCGCATTTTTTAAAACAAAGCGCAACGAAATACCTTTTCGCGGACCACAACATCCATTTCGTGGTCCAACGGTGTTCGCGGCTTTCGTGGCGCATCCAGATTTGGAAACTTTGCATGCATGGGAACTAGTGTTTTTCTGTCTGCTTCACATGCATGTTTTTCTGCACGCGTGCAAATTCGTCAGTTTTTATACAATAAATACATGGTTTCAATGATTTTCGTGGCAGGAAAACCGCGACAACTGTTTTCTCTGTGTTCGGTGACCCCCGCGAACGCCACGAAAAAGGTTTCCGGGGCTCGGGGATTTACAGCGTGCCAAGAGAGCTTGATGTGTTGTGGTTTTTTCGTGCAGTTCAGCGCCATGCGAAAAGGTGTTTGTGCGTTTTCAGATGGGGAAAGTCGCCATGATTGCCTGGAAATTATAGGCGCGCGCCATTTTGACTTCCAGCTTCAAATTGAATCTTCGCGTCATGAAGCTTTACGCATGAGCTCCGCGGGCGCCACAAACATGCACGCCACGAAAATGAACTTTTTCTATGCTTTATGGTGCGCAGCGAAATAACAAGTTTCGTGGAAGTGCGCGCCATGAATTTGGATTTCCAGCTTAACACCGTTTTTTTTTTTTTTTCGTTTTGCTAAAACTAAGTAAAACTAGTTTTCTTGTGGATATGTTGCAAATTTCCAATGTATTTCGTAAGCCGCACGCATGCAGCTTAACGTATAAGCGCACAAATGTTTGGATGGGGCCCACGAGCGCCACGAACAGGTTTTCGCGTTTGTTTCGTGGACCCCATGCGAGCATGATCAGCCACGAAAAGGCTTTCGTGTGTCACGAAAAAGGCTTCGTGGTTTTCGTAGAGCTCCACGAACGCCACGAAAAGGTTTTCGTGTGCCACGAAAGGGTTTCCGTGGCTTTCGTCAATTCAAAAACTAATTTCAAAATTTCTGGCGCCCTTTAAGGAGGCCGACGGTGACATGGTTGTTTTCGTGCCACGAAAATTTCAACGAGCGCCGCGAAAAAAGGTTTTTGTGCTTTTCGTGGAGCTCCACGAAGGCCACGAGAAGGTTTTCGTGGATCAAGAAAAGGTTTCGCGGCTATCGCCATTCCAGAAACAAATTTAAACATTTCTGGGGCCCTTTAAGGAGGCCGACGGTAACATGGCGTTTTCGTGCCGCGAAAATTTCAACGAGCCCCACGAAAATGGTTTTCGTGGTTTTCGTGGAGCTCCACGAACAGGTTTTCGTGCGCAGCGAAAATGTTTTCGTGGTTTTCGTGCGCGCTTTTCGCGCAGCGAGATTGCCGCGAAAATGCTTTCCTGGTTTTCGTGGAGCCCCACGAACGCCGCGAACATATTTTCGTGCGCCGCGAAAAAGTTTTCGTGTAACATCCAAGAACTTGATTTCAAAATGCCTGCTGACCTTTAAGGAGGCCGACGGAGCGCTTTTTTTTGCGCCAAGAGAATTACACGAGCGCCACGCAAATGTTTTCGCGCGTAAACGCGTGGTTTCCCCAGTTATATAATTACACAAACAAAATGCAAAAATCCTGGGGACCTTTAAGGAGGCCGACGGTAACATGTCATTTGTTTTAAAGGTTTTGGTATGTATATATAATGGAAATGTAGAAAATATTGTTGGTCAAACAGCATTGCGATTTCGCTTCGCGAATTTTATTCCAGGGTTGCTGTTGCAGAAAAATTTCTGTGAGTGGCTTGAACATTTTCATGCAACATTCAAACCTGAATTAAAACATTCTGTGGGTCGCGACGGGCGCGCCGTTTCTTACAGAACATGGAAATTAATATGGTATATATGCAATCTTAATTTCCAGGCTCTGTATATAAATGCGCTATTCCAATTCGACGAGAAATTCGTGGTACCGTATATATCGCGCCATTTGATTTCCAGCTTAACATAGCGCCAGGGCAAGTTTTCGTGCGCTTTCAGATTAGAAGAGTCGCCACGTTTGCCATGGAAACCAAAAAGGCGCGCCATTGTGATTTCCTGCAACATGTCAGGGGGCGCCAGGAAGCGCGAAAGCAGCGCGCAGGGCTACGAGGCCTACGAGGGCTACGAGAGTTCGAGGCCTCGGGGGTCTCGGCGCATGGTAGTTATCACCCTCGCACGAGTGAGCATTCGGGGTCTCGTCATCGCCGATTCCGCACGCGTGGAGCGACCCGGTAGAGACCCATCTGGTCGGCCATGTACAGCGCCCAGCCGCCGTCGGAGCTCAGCCAACCTCCTGCCTCGCGAGTCGAGAAGGCGGACCTGAAGCTCCCAACGGCCCGGAAAGTGCCCCCGCCCATCCCCTCGGCGATCCAGAGGGTGCGATTGCCGATGTCCTTCCAGCTGATGCCAAAAAGACCCCAACCCCTGATCCAGGACGACGAGTCCGAGTCGGGGGGATCGGGGGGAGTGCGGGTCGGACCTTGGGGAGGTGGGTCGGCCGGCGGCGCGGAGCGCTCGCGCGGCGGACCCCCTCCGGCACCGCCCGCGGGAGCCGCATGCTCGCCTGCGGGGCGCGCTCTGATCGGCAGCGCGTCCGCGCGCGAGGAGGGGGCCAAGGTGCCGTCGAGCCAGAACGCCTTCATGTCCACGTCCGACATGTCGTCGTAGTACACGTACTCGGCCTCGTGGTCGGCGTCGGCGGCCTCGGCCGCCACCACGAGGGTCAGCAGCAGGGCTGCCGCGCGTCCGCAGCGCCCGCCGGCTGGCGGCGGCGCCGGGGCCTTGGGGCAGCTCCTCCAGGTGGGCCCCGGCGCGCGCACGCGATCTGCCGCCCTCGCCTGGCATCGAGCCGGCGCCGGCGCGGGCTCGCGCCTGGCCGCCGGCTCGGCGGGGGGGTTGGCAGCCTTGCCTCGGCGGGTGCCGCCTCGCCCCCGGGTGCTCCGCGGCTGGCGTGGGCCGGCGCCGCTCGGCGCCCGGGCCCCCCGCCGCTGCGCAGCTGCGCGCCCGCGGGCAGCGACGCCGCAGCCCCCCAGCCGCGCGGCGCCAGGCGCGGCATCGTGCGGCCGCGGGCGCCTCCTTTCAGGCCTGGACCCAGGACCTGGAAATCTTCTGGCCCCGGTCCCGGGGCCCGGCCTTAGGCCAACTGAGGCCGACCCCCAGCTTGGCCTTCGAGAAAGGCTTGAGCCGCCAAGCGGCGGCGAGGAGAGAAGGGGCGAGAGAGGGCAAGCAAAGAGGCAAGGGCAGGAGCAAAGGGGCCGCGAGTGGAAGCCCGCGCCAGTTCTGGAAGCGGGAAGATCCATCAGTTTTACCAAACATCCTAGTCGGGGTAGACGCGGCAGGAGCGGGCGAGCGCAAGATGGACGAAAGGATGATGCGCTCCCCGAACGGAGACCACAACTGCGCCCTGCGTTCTAACGCCCTGAGCTGAGCACGAATAGCAGCAGGGCATGACGAGGGGTGCTGTCTGGCTTCGAGCCCCGCCTTCTGTGCCAGCCTCGCCTCATGTTGAATCCGATCGACCCAAACCTCGAACGATGGCGGGCGTCGCAAACAAACGTTAGCCCCAACGAGCTTCAGAATATCAGACACAATTGGGTGCGAGCCAAGCATCTTCTGCGCGAGTCGACATGTCTTGGCGCCAATCCACTCTGGCCATCATGCGGGCCACCTGGAGGAGAGTCCTGGGATGTAACGGCATATCACGAAACAACTGATCTCTGATCTCCGCTCCCGCGATCCGCACCAACTCTTTGGAGCGTTCATGACAAACAGGAGGCGACGTTGATTCCCAATCAACGCATTCAACCGGCCCGCGCAGACGCTGACGAAAGAGCTGATCGCGACAGAGACCCTTGGGAAGATCGCGCTGCTGAGGGGGGCGGGGGGCGCGAGCGCAGATGGCATGAGCGACAACAACGTGGTCTGGGACTTTTGCATCGGGCACCTCGGCCGCGGACCCCACCGTCGCCGAGGGGAACGGATGCTGGCGGGCCATCCAGCAGGGGGCCGAGATGAAGGTCCCGTCGAAGATGTCGCCTCTCTCGGAGGCGGCCTCGAAGCGCGCGGCGTCCGAGCCCTCGATCTCGAGCATCTTGAGCAGCGCGTGCCGCCGCAACGTCGCGCGCCCATGGAAACGGCGAACGTCTCAAGCAACAACAGCTTGAGGTGAGCGCATGGCGAGCGACTCCTCGCTGGGGAAGTTGAAGTCCCTATTGGCCACCGCAAACCGCGAGTGCGGGGCCTCCGCAGCGAACGCCAACTCTTGCAGGTTTCTGAAGCCGACTGCACCCGCGCCGTCGAGAGGTCATGGTTGCGCGCGTTGACGACGCAGGGGTACGTAGAGCAAGTACGAACGCGAATGAGAAGCACCCGCCCAGGCACAAGAGCCACCGGTTCAGTCTGAACAGGATCTCCAGCTGCCACAGCGAGAGGAGGAATGATAATGGCGACGCCACCGCGAGTGCGGGCCTCTGCCGAAGCACCTCAGAAACTCGTGAACACTGAGCATCCTGAGCAAGTGGCTGTGACGAAGCGCCGCAATGGCAGCTCATCTGGATGAACTTCCCAAACAGGAATCACCGTGCGCCCGGGAAGCAGTCGCGCGAGGTACCCTTTCTTGAGGCTGGCCTTCCCACCCGCGGCCTGCAATAGAGCGCGACAATTCCATGTGCAGCAGCGCATCGATCGGGGGGGGCCCTCCCGAGGTCGCGAGCACTCGATCAGCGCGGCGACGTCAAAGACACCAATGTGCCTCCGCCATGGGGGCAATGATTGGGCCGGTCCTTCGTGAAGTCATTCTTGGCGAGCTGACTGGGGCCCCAATGCAGCGCAGCAGGGTCATCGCCAGGTGCAGCCGTGACACGCGCGATCTTGTCCCAACCAATCGCGGTCGTCGCGCCATCACGGTCAATGCAGAAGCGCTTCTGAGGGAACGCCTCAACCAAGGCAGCGCGACACCGACGGATAACCACTTCCATTTTGATCTGCTTGGGTGGTTAATCAGGTTCGAGGTGGAGACGGGAATCGACAGCCGAGCCAGGAACAGCGACACGAAATGAATTCCAATATTTGTCAGCACTGCGGAGTCATGCCGAGGCGCGCTGGACCTTCCTGCTAGCAGGACCAGGTGGACCACATAACTTAGCAACGACACGCTTTGTCGGGAGCTGCCCGCGGAGTTCAATCTTATATTCATCATCCTTGGAGCCAAGCTCGGAGAAGAAGGTAGGAACTGGCGGTTTCCGTCATCGTCGGTCGTTGTGCCACTGCCACCAGCACAGATGCGTCGGGCTCACGATCAAACCCATACGGGACAGGAAGGGCAGCAGGAGGTCGCGCTTCAGCGACAGCGAGGGCATGACCCATTGCGCGGGTCTTCCATCTCCTCCCGTAGCCGAGCGAACTCGGCATCTTGACCGTCAAAGCGAAAAGCGCGTGCAAGAAGAGACTCACCGTGAACATCCAACTGCGCCTGGAGCCGCCTCGAGAGGTCATCCACTTGCGGACGAACGGCATTCTGCAAGAGCTGATCCGCAAAGGAGGTTTGGGCGGTGACTTGGGACTTGAAGGCGCCGATGCAGGCCAGCAGCTGGGCGTGGTTACTAGCGACGGTGTCACTGACTGCCTTGCCAACAGAGGCCGTGAGAGAAGCACGCATCTGTTCAAACTCATCTTCGCATAGCTGCCGACGGTAGTCGTCACTGGACCACACATCCTCCGCGTCGTTGTCCATCTGGTGGTCATTGCTGGCGGCCGCAGGCCGCTTCCTGGGTACGAACGAAGATTTGCCACCATTCCATTTGCCACGATCACGACCAGGACCCAGACCAGGCTCTTGCGACGGGAGCGTGGGGGCTGCGTCCCGAAGCTCCAGATGAGAAGCTGACAGAGGAGTGCTATGGACGCCATCGGCCATGCTGCGGGTGAGAGCGACGAGAAAAAAAACTGCAGCAGGGGCCCAAGTCCCGCGGTGAAGGCACTGGAGAAGCGCCAGGCAGAACTGCCTTGCCTGCCGCGGACTCGCGGTATCCACTTTGGCCCCAAGGGAAGCCGGCATCTTGAGCCAAAATGGCTACGGAGGAGGAGGAGGAGGAAAAGGTATAAGGACTGTGGGTCTCTCTGCGCTTCCTCCAGGGGCAGAAGGTCCCCTGGTGGCTGGACACTGCGGGAGTCGCCGCCAGACTGTGGGTTTAGGACTCGAGGCCCTGGCACATAGCACGTTGCGAACTTACCGCGGACCCAGGGATACGTATCCATCCCGGGGGCGGCTTCAAACCTGTTGGCGCAGCCACCGCGGTCGGTACTTGAGCGGGTTTAATCATCCGGCAACACACAGGGAAAAGTAGGAGGAGTGGGAAGCTCAGACTAGTCCTCGGGGTCGAAACTCGACCAAGGCCCGATGTCGACTGTAACACCACTGAGCTTGGGGAGAAGACCGCGAGCTATGCGATTCCAAGAATGCAGTCTGCCATGGGCCCCCGTTCGGGGTAGAGGGCGGCATTCTCGGCGAAGTGGACAAGGGTGGAGGAGGGGGGGTCGACGACCAGCCCAGGGGGGGGAGGGTTGAAGAGGGGGTGGGCCTTCTCATCAGAAGGCAGACGCTTCTCAAAGGCTGGAGGGCTCCGAGAAGCCCCGCCGCCTTCTGAGAAGGCCTCCTCCCTCTCACCTCCCCCCCCCCGCTCGCCGCCGAGGGAGGACCACGTCTATCTCGAAGCCTCCCGAGGGGATCGGGCGGGCGGGGAGCTCCACGCTCCCAAGTGGGGAGGACCGCACCTGGAGGCAGCCGCTCGCGCGCGCGCCCTGCACGGGGCCGAGGAGTGGGGACGGCGCCCGACGCGCACCCTCGTGGCAGCGGCCTCGCCGATCGGGCGCGCTGCGCGCGCGATCGGAACGAAACTCTGCCGCTCCACGGACCTCCCCTTCACGTAAGCATCGTTTCACCAACCCCTCTCGGGATCCGCCAAAAGGAGGGTGAACCCGAGGGGGAGCGTGAGTTCGATCCGCCGGTGCACCGAACTGCCGAAAACAGATGCCCCACGCGTGCCCCACCTGCCGCCTCCTATCGGGAGCTGCCGGCGGCTGGGGGCATATGTTTTGGGCGGTTCGGTACAAGAGCCGATCGCACTCACTCACACACCCCGGGGCACACCCCTCCTTTGCGGGAGCCCGACGCTATCCCCATGGGCGCAGTCTGGGCCCCACTGGCCGATCTACCCCCCCCCTAGATAGAGGACATAGGCAACTTCCCTCGGGTTTCGAGGGGTAGATCCGTGTATCCCCCCACTGGGGCGCTACAGTGGTGGGGGTCTGGATGGGGATGGGGATGGGCATAGGGGACGGTCAAACGGTCCTGAACCTCTCCTCCTGTGGCAACGCATGGCCCTAGTGTGAACCACCTCCAAGGAAGGCGGAGATCGAGACGGGAAAAAACTCGAACGCATGATGTCGAATGGTACACTTGCGGCCCTCTGCCTATGACTGCACGGACGGGGCGCTGGGCATTTGCGGGGGGCCCTGCAGGGGGGTACTCGACACGCCAGAAGTGCGCTTCCTGAGGTAGAGGCCGCTAGGATAACTGTCTCTTCTTCTCCTTCCTCTTCCCCAGAATGACCTGCACCAGAGGTGCACGTTTCCATCGACTCTCGACGATCAAGCGGCTACCATAAGGAACGCCAAATGGTGTCCTCATGCCAACGTCTTGACTGTGCCGTTGCCCGTACCTGGTTTGCCAGTGGAGGCTTGGATCCCATGCGCACGTCTCGCACCACAACGCACTGTCCCACTGCGTGCGCATGGCCGACAGAAAATCGTCAACAGGCCGAAGTGCCACCGTGAGCGTCCGAGAATCCGTCAGCAGATCCACACGCGTGCGCGCGCATGCCAAGCGCAGATGCACGTCCGAAATGGAGGGAAAGAAAACTATGACCGTGACCAAGACTGAACGCGGAACGTCGGTGTCGACCTTGGCCTTCATCCATCTTGGCCAATGTCGCTTCGTGGATCATCCAAGCGAATCGGCAACGGCCGGCATAGGCCATAACCAAGATCGGCGTGGAACAGATCCGACGACGTCTTCGTCATGGGTATCGTATTTCTTTCCTCGGCGAGAAGCGCAATCGCGAGCGACCAGCGGGCGGGTGTTATCGCCTGCGGGCATCACCAACGCGAAGCAGAACAAGGAATCAGCTCCCAGTGTCACGGTCGTGGTCGTTGTTCTGGTGCTGGTGACCTAGAGATCGGCAGCGTCGCTGCAAAAGGGCAGATCTGATTATATGTATGTAGAGCCTGCGTGCAGCAGCCAAAGGACGTGTCTAGCCAAGGGCCCAGGCTTCGTCAAAGTGAGCCCTGGTGACGGTGATCGCGAGAAGAAGGGATAGAACGCCAACCTGGCGCAAGGCGGCGACAAAACCAAAAAACACAACACCGTGGGACAGGACGGTTGCAAATGGAAAGGGGCTGGCGACGCATCTCAGGCTCGATTCAGTGGTGCAACTGAGGACCCAACTGGAGATGAAAAACTGCTGACGCTGGTCCCCGTAACAGAAGAAGCTACGAACGGCATAACCAGCACTGTGTAACAGGGTCGTCCCAGAAAGGCGTTCTTCGCTACTGCGAGCGCTGAGCGAGCATGCCACGAGCCCATGACACCATGCTTACAACATATCGTGTGCTGGGAGAACAACACCAAACACATGGCCATGGAAGATAAACGCGGACGGGTGTGCAAGGGAGACACAGGCATGAGCCAAGTTACATAAACAGGTGTACATACATAATGACATATCAGCAATCAACGATGAGTTGCCATGATACATGCCTATATGCACATACATACATATTGATGAAAGCATGCCCATACATATGTGTGTCGTGTGTGTGCAAGCCTACATTGATGCATCGAATTATGCACCTTCGTCCTTCATGCTGGGCATGCAGGCGGAAGGATAGGAACCATCATACAGGTAGCAGGCGGATGGATAGGAACCATAATACATGCATCGATGACTCCGTGCTACATTTTCCTGCACCGCCGTCATACAAATTTAATTCCTTCTCCTTCCCCTATGTCTCCTCTTCCTCGTCCTCACCCTCGCCCTACTCTGCGAACCCTTACCCGTCCTTCCCGGCTCTTATTGCGGAGGCTCCTCCTTGGAGGTTGGGAGCCTCACGAAAATGTTTGAGGGCTTCTTGGGGACTGCTGGAGGCCTCCTTGGCGACTTCTGGGTCTTCTGGGGGCTTCCTCTGGACACACTGCTTCCAACTGCGGTCTTCCTGAACGACTGGGTCACGAGTTGGAGTGCTTCGGAGGCTCTTCGGGCAATGTTGGGGCCCTTTTGGGCCGTCTTGGGGCTCTTCAGGACTGTCTGAAAACCCTTTTGGGTCTTTTTGGGACGACTTTCCAGCATCTCGGGCAGTCTCGGACGCCCAGAAGGCAGACGAATATAGCATCCCCCCGAATCATGCAAAAATCAATTGGACATCACTTTCTTTTGGTCGTCTTCGGGCGTCTGGTGGGTGGCTGAGGCCGCTCGGGACCCTCGCCCTCCTGACAGTATTTGGGCCCGTCGGCGAGGCTCAACAAGTACATCATCCAGGAGCTCTGGCCCGGGGAACTGTTTGCATGGGCGTCCAGGGGGTCCTCAAGGCCAAGAATCCGGGATGTCCCGTTTTTTCTTGGGGCGGCGCCTCCGTGTATGGTCAAGATATGGCAAATGATGTAGAAAAGAACGAGAGAGAAAGAGAGAGAGAGAGAGATATAGAGAGAGAGACGTGTGCAGAACGAGGGGAAGCAACGTTGGCAATCACTCTCAGACGACGAGGGTACATGTGGACGGACGAACTGGGTTCCCGTAGTCAAAAACGGTGCGTCCGTTGTGGTCATGGTGCTTGTTGTCGTCGTTGTCGCTGTACTCGTGGAAGTGACCTCAGAGCTAGATGGGAGGAGGAAACTGGAATGAGGTCGGGGGGACAATCAACGTACACGTGTGAGGACCGGCTTGTGCTTGTCCTGGATGGGGTCCTTTTCGTTTCTTATCCCGGGGCCCAGGTCGGCATGCTGAAGGCCGTTAGCCTAATGCTACACGATTGTGGTTGTCAAAACTTGCATGGCTCTATCTGAGGCAACCGCTTCTGCAACAAATGATGGAACAGGCTGCTGCTGCAGACACGCGCCATGTGCATCGATAGGAATTTGGATGCCGTGAGTGCTACGAAATAATCCGCCTTCGAAAGACCGAGCGTCTGCAAAACAATCGTCTGCACGGTGTTCCGCCAACGACGTGCAAAAACAAACTCATCGACGCGTGCCCATCGATTGCTCACAAAATTAGAACCACGCGCGCGCTTCGCGCGCGCTTTGGTTCTAGTGTGGCGATGCGCACTTGCATCTGACGTTCCATGCCGAACACACATGGGTGGCCAAGCCTAACAGCGCGCATAACTATACATCACCAGTCTCGACGACAGTCTCGAAGGGTGCTCTAAGACTGTCTCCAGAGATCGTAAGAGACGAGTGCAAACACTATGACAGTAACCCTTTAGGGCCCCCGTGGGCCATGTGGAGCCCTTACGAGGAATTCTGCTGAGAAGGTTCCAGCGAATCATCTCAATAACGTTCTGGAAACATTTGAGGTCGGATGCTTCTCTGGGAAGGTGATCTTGGACCCATCGTGGGCCGTCGTAGGGCCACCGTGGGTCGCACAGAGCCTCTCAAAGGGCAACCGCGCTGACAACATGCTGGCAGAAGTTGCCTAGCACGTTCTTGAGCCACTTGCTGTGGCGCACACAATTCTGTGTGCATGCTCCTCCAGATGCTGTTGTGACTGTAACTGTGCGTAGCATGCGTGATCCGCATCGTCCTCCATACTCGTGCTGCGCTGAGGCTCTCTCGGGCTGGCTCTGGGATGCTCGTAGGCTGCCTGGGACCCTTGCGGGGCAAACTCGAGCCTCTCTCGAATATCTGGTGGATTTTTCTTGGACCGTCCTGGGTCCCTGTGATGCCGTCTGGTGTTTCCCTTGGTTCTGTTGGGGGCGTCATGGGGCCGTGTGAGGACCATCATGGGCCCCCGTCTGCGGCCTCTGTTGGGCTGTCTGGAGCCTCTCCTCGGGCCGTCTTGGAGCGCAGTAAGGATACACGCGGCAATTGTGGGTCCCTCTTGGGGCCCTTTCGGGCTGCCCCTGGGCGTTCCCGGGGCCTCCTGGGGCGGCTCGGACGCTCCGAAGACAGACGCTGCGATGAAAGTCGAAACACTGAAGTCCGCCATCGCGCCTCCTGGCACGTTGAGGCGTGGAATGAGCGCAGGTGCTGCATGGCAGAATTTCTGCAGTCGTCGAAGGCCCCCCCTCCACCTATCACCAGAAATCAGAACATCCACCCCCATAATCCAAAGCAGCTTAGCAAACGCACCCAAGGAAGGAATCGAACGGGGCAGGGCTGCTAAATAAACGCCCAGGGCTGTTGAGTAAACGCAGCTTGTCGGGGTCGGGGTGGTTCTTCCTCCCTTGAGGCGCGTGCATCGCACCTCCTCCCCGGGGCCCCATGGGCGACCATGGCGCCGCGCTGGTGGTTGCTACCCAGAGTGCTGCGCTGGCGCGGTGGCGGAATTGCCAGAGGCAGCTGGACACCTCAGGGGGATGAAAGCCCTTGTGGTTTGGCAAACCTCGTGGGGGTTCTTCTGGGCGCGCTCGGGGCTTTTCCGCAATTTGTTTGGCCTATTCGTCGGGCCCTTGGAGCGAATGCGGGGACGTCCTGGGACCTGGCTGCATTGGAATCCTCGCGGGGCTCTCTTGGGGGTGGGTTGGCCACGTTGGGCCGGTTTTTTGCGCGAAGCGCAGTCCCGTAGACTCGGGTGTTGCTGAATGGGGGGCGATAAACTGAGGGGGGGAGAGAGAAACGTACACCTCTCGCGCCCTTTTTGCGCGCCAGAAGAGGGCCCCCTTCAGGGCCCCTTTGGAGCACAACTGGTGCACACGCCTTCACCCCCCTCATGTATCGCCCCCCCCCCCCCCGAACATGCAACGCCCGAGATACACCTCTCACGCTTCAACTGGCACCGTGATTACATCGCACTGCAATCCCACCGAGAAAGATCGGGGGCCTGGCATCTTGCACGGCCCGAATAAGAGGCGCTCTCCGTGCCCGCGCGTCCCGTCAGAGTGTCCACGGGGCGTCCATCCTCCCAGCTCACCCTTCGCCTCCACCTCCTTCCCCTCCACCTCCTTCGCTCCGCCTCCTGCTCCTGCTCCTTCTGCTCCCCCCCTTCTGCCGCCTTCTTCCTTCCTCCTCCCTCTCCCCTTCCTCCTCCTCCTCCTGCTCCTCCTCCTCCTCCTCCTCCTCCTCCTCCTGCTCCTCCTCCTCATCCTTCTCGCCCTCCTCCTCCTCGCCCTCCTCATCCTCCTCTCTCCACCTTCTCGTCCCTCACCACAGCGTGTCAGAATGAGTGGACTGAGGGATGTACACGGTGCACATCGGCGAATCTCCAGGCGAACCTCCACCTCCTCGTCCCCCTTCTCCTTGCCCCCCTCCTCCCCCTCCCATTTCTTCTCCTGCTCCCCATCCTACTAGCCTGGCTGAGCGCGCGGCTGTGGTGCCCCCTGGAAACAGTCCCATCAGGAGGTCCCTGCCCGGCGAGCACCTTGGCGGAAGCTGGCGACGACGAGGACGCCGACGATCAGGACGAGGACTGGGGCGTGGAGCAGACGGGGCAGCAGTGGAAACACTGGGTATGAAGGTGTGAAGTAAGTATGTGTGCGTGTGTGTTGTGTGTGTGGTTGTGTGTGTGAGGGTGCGTGCGTGCGTGCGTGCGTGCGTGCGTGCGTGCGTGCGTGCGTGCGTGCGTGCGTGCGTGATTGCGTGCGTGCGTGTGCGTGTGCGTGTGCGTGTGCGTGTACGTGTGCGTGTGCGTGTGTGCGTGCGCGCGCGCGTGTGTGTGTGTGTGTGTGTGTGCGCGTGTGCGCGTGTGCGCGTGTGCGTGTGCGTGTGCGTGTGCGTTTGCGTGTGCGTGTGCGTGTGCGTGCGCGTGTGTGTGTGTGTGTGTGTGTTCGTGTGTGCGTGTGTGTGTGTGTGCGCGTGTGTGTGCGCGTGTGTGTGTGTGTGTTCGTGTGTGCGTGTGTGTGTGCGCGTGCGTGTGCGCGTGTGTGTATGTTGTGTTTATGTTTGTGTTCGTGTGTGTGTGTGTGTGGGTGGGTGGGGGGGGGGAGGAACGGGGGTGCACGATGTGAGCGAGAACCACATGCCGTAAATCGGGGAATCGGGGAGCGGGGGACAAAAGGTCGGGGGAAGGAGGGGCGACCCGCTAGCTCGGAGCAGCTCGAACGGAGGACGTGGGTCCCATTCCCGCAAGACTGCCCCTGCGGCTTCAGGCGCCAACGCTGCGCAAGACAACGTACACAGGAACAACATCCCCACAAATCGGGCCTCGGGGGCGAAGGGAAGAGAGAGACCCCGAGGCCCTCGCTTCCAAAAGGAGGGCACCCAATGGCACCATTTCTGTGTCGGCCCCAAGAGCCCGAACCGTTTTTTGACGGCCCCAGGGTCAAGCGAGTAGAGGAAGACAACATTTCACAAACAGAAGCTTTCGGAGGTCCGCGCGGATTTCTCTGATCGGCGCTGGGCCCCCCTCCCCCCGGCGCGGGCGCGCGGAGCGCGCGCGCTCCATGGGCAGCGCCGGAGGCGCTGCCAAATGGGCTCCAACGCCGATCCACGAAATGCGCGCGGACCTCCGAACAATTATTCTCCCGCTCGCGCGCTAGCGAGCTGTCTCCGAGCGCGGCCGCGGCTCGCGCGCGCGGGGCGGCCCAAAATGGGCAGGCCCGTCCCGCGCGCTCGTGCCGGGGCGCCGCGCGTCAGGCGGGGGAGACCGCCTGCTCGCCGACGACGGCGAGGCAGCGCCCATCAGCCTTAGATTGGGAGAGGAGGGAGGGGGGCAGAGAAGCTGCGGAGACAGCAGGAGCTTGCTCACAGAGAATAGAAGAGGCATTCTCCCGCTCGCGCGCTAGCGAGCTGTCTCCGAGCGCGGCCGCGGCTCGCGCGCGCGGGGCGGCCCAAAATGGGCAGGCCCGTCCCGCGCGCTCGTGCCGGGGCGCCGCGCGTCAGGCGGGGGAGACCGCCTGCTCGCCGACGACGGCGAGGCAGCCATACCCGTGCTCAAGGACCTTGCGAAGTGACAAGGTTTCGGCGGGCGGCCGCAAGTAGGGCAGGCCAAGCGGCGGGGCCGACTTGGAGAAATGAAGCGACAAGGCGGTCGCTGGCGGTGGCGAAGAACAGGATCCGCGCCCGTGCGGGCACGGGCAGCGCAGCAAGAACTGTGGAAGCGGCGGCGGCTTGCAGGTAGCGCTCAGCACTGGAAGCCTGACGCCAACGCCCCCGCCAGAAGACGCGAGGGACGTCTTCCGTAGCGATATAGAAGTCTGTTGCGCCAGAGCCCCGCAGACATGCGGGCGTCAGGTTGAGCCCCTGACCCGCTTTGGCAAGAGGGACGCCCAGGGCCGAAAGCAAATGATTCCACCGAGTACGGAAGCCGCTCGCACCGAAAGGGGCGAGAGGATCGGTGGAAGCCAACCGCCCAAACACTTGATTCAGAATCTTCACCGTGCCCCGATCGGAGCAGCGAGCATGCTGCGTCGGGTACGTTCTCCTGGTCTTTGGAACAAGAATCGAGAGAAAAGCATCCCCTTCAACTTCGAGGCGGTCGCAAGGAAGCGACAAGTCACAGCGGCGTGACGCCAGCAGCTCGCCAGGCCTGAGGAACATCGTAAAGCCCATGAGCAGCAAGGCCGCCATCACAGGCCAGTCCCAGGCGAAACAGAGACCGACCATAGCGCGCAGCAGAGCGCGAGGTAAGGGCGGGCGGAGCTTTGGCGGCTCCGCGAGCTTCCATTGTTTCGCTACGTCCCAAGCTTCTGTTAGAAAGGCCTTCCAATGCGGATGAGCGCTCTGGATTCCCAAGATGGCATGAACCAGAATATAATGAGGGAAACCTGCATCATGAAGCCACACGCCGAAGGTCGCGAGGAAGCGGGCGAGAAGTATCCCGCTACGGTAAAGAGTGGCGGGCGGCACGCCAGTGTGTTCTGCTAACCACAGTTCGAACGCATCAATCGATCTCGAGCGACGATCGAGATACGCGGAGGTGAGGTGAGAATCGCGCACGAAGGGAGTGCGCGGAGGGCGAGCGGGCGCGGAAGGCGCAGCCCGACTAAGCCCTTGGCCTGCGGTCGGCGCCGCGGCTCCCAGAGAGATGCAGAGGCCGCAGACGCACCACAGGATGAGCGCAGGGCGGCCAGGGCTGGGAGAGCTGATCAGCGTGGCGGCCCTCCTGCTCCTGGACGCGTAGAAGGGCGGAACGAGGGTGTCCCGCCCGTCGGTCTCGAACCCCGACGCCTCCGCCAGCATCGCCCGCGCCGAGGTGAAGGATCCGCCCATGTTACGGTGAGCACGGCGAGCCCCTGCTTCGATCTCGGCGGGCAGAGCGCCCCCTCCCTCGAGGGTCGCCCAGTCAAGGGCGGGCGCGGCTCGGCGCGCGCAGCTGCGGCCGATTCGGCGAGCTCGGAACGAGCTGCCGAGGACGTGAGGCCCGAATGATGTGGAACGGGCACCACCTCCGCGAACGCGTCGAGGATCTCGGACGGAGGGGAATGAGATCCCCACAGCGCTGCTGGGATGGCGCCGTGACCGTCCTGCACGTGGTACAGAAGGTCGAAAAGGCAGGCCAACTTGCCCGCGCGCCTCCTGTGCTCGATCTTTGAGCCGAGCCCGATGCCACGGATGGCGCCCGCCCCCATGGCTTGGAGGTCAGCGCCCGCGGGGATAGCCTCGGGCTCGACGGCGGCCACGTAAGGATGCAACCACGAGGCTTCGTCGATCGGCTCGGCGCCGCCTGTCTGAAACAGGCGCTTATAGGCGTGCAAGGCCTGCAGGAGGCAGTGCAGGTCCTCTCTGCCCTCGGGCTCGGCGGCCCCTGCGGGTGCGAAAGACCTCAGCCACGACGCCGCGCTCTGGAAGGCAGCTTGCCAGGCGGGTCCCCACCTCACCACTGTGACCTTCTCACCGCCGAGGTTGAGACGCCACGCTAGGGCGGTGGCGGCCCCTGGAGGCAAGGGCTGCTCAACGGCCGCGGAGGCCGTGCGCCGCGCTGCGAAGGCTGCAGCCGCGGCGCTCCCAGCGTCGCCGCTGTGGGAGCCGCTGGGATGCAGCTCGTGCCCTGAATCTCGGCCAGGCGCGGGGCCGCTCGAAGACCCCCTTTCCTCGGCGGCACGCCCTCCGCCCTGCGGGGCCGCAACAGCATCGCTGGAGGAGCGCGTGCCTACCGAAGACTGAGGGGCCTGAGCAGCGGAGTCCGCGCGGGAGCTGCCTGCGTGGGCGTCGCCCGAGCTCGCACCATGGCGGGACGTGGCTGGCCGCTGCGCAGTAGCGGGGCTCGGGCGCCGCTTCGGAGCGACTCGAGGGGAGCGCACCTCGCGACGCCGAGGCGACGTCGCCTGACGCGAAGGCGCGCGAGAGGAGCCGCGCGCGACGGCCCGACTAAGCCCCTGGCCTGCGGTCGACGCGCGGGATCGCGACGCCGCACGCCCACCAGAGTGGTGAGGGGGCGGCGGCGGCGGCGGGGGCACGGGCCGCGGAGTCTCGGAGCCTACACGCGCGCCGCGGCCCCGAGAGCGACTGCGAACCGAGGCGCGAGCGGCGGGCGGAGAGGCCCCCGAGCGGCGAGGGAAGGCCGCCTGCAGGCGGCGGAGGACCTCGGGGTTCAGGCCCGCCACGACGCGCTCGAGGTCCATCGAGGAGTCTGCGAGGGCACTCAGCACGACGTCCTCGAGCTCCGTCGGAGAGTCCTCGTCGCACGCGGGCTCCGCTCTCGAGCGGCTGCGAACGCTCGCGGGCGGGGACCCGTCAGGAGTGTGCGGGCCCTCCGATGCCTCCCCCGCAGGCGGCTCCGACGGCTCCTCGGGCGAGATCGGGCCGTCGACGGGAGGCGACGAGCAGCCCCCCGAGGGAGAGGTGCGGTCGGTCCCGTACGGGTTTGGAGACCGCGTACGGCTGCGGGCAGGGCTGCGGCTCCGCGGTGGGGAGCCCACTCCCGCGGCGGAGCTGGGGCGTGCCGCGCCTGCCCAGCGGCGCGCATTGGCAGTGCGACGCGCCCTGCGGCCAGGCGCCGTGGCGGCCCCCCCCTCAGGGGCGGGGAGCGCCGCCATCGAAGCCCGCCGCTGCCTGGCGGCGCGCCTGGTGCGCGCGGCGCCCGTGCGCGAGGCGGAGTGCGGCGCGTGACCACCGCGGTTGGGCTGGTCCTCGACCGCTTCATCCCGCGGGCCCAGGCGGGCGCGGACCGCGCGCCGCTCACGACGGCTGAAGCTGGACGCAGGGTCGTCGGCGGGCCTTGCCAAGGCGCGCGGGTCCTCAGCCTCCACCTCGGCCAAGGAGCGGCCAGTGGACGACGCGGGTGCGTCCCCAGCACGAGCGGCACGTTCTGCGATGGCGAGGCCCGTCGAGACCTCAGCGTTGTGCAGGGCGGCGCGCAAGGTTTTGCGCCAATCCCGACCCAGCTGGACGGGAGCAGTGCGCGGCAAGCCCGCGGCCTCTCGACTGGCGGCCTCGCGCACGCGTCGGAAGTAGGCGCGATCGGCCATCCCTTCCGCGAGC